GACGAGAACAGGCAGAGCATGCTGCTGGGAGTTCTTAGCCAAAACTGCACGCAGGCTGCTGTGGGGTGATGGTCGCCTACAGTAGACATAGGTACATGCAGTGCCTGTATCTTTCCATAGCGACAGAGCAGCCTTTTTCAGGAATATCGCTCCTCTCCCTATAAGGGAAAGGGTAGATAAAAGGATCCTTAAAGAAAACCTACCTCATAAACACACCTGGGCATCCAATTAAGTGGCCAAAACAACAGACTAAAGATGAAGCCCCTAACCTTTGGGGCATGGAATGTACGCACTCTGTTTGACAGAGGAGACAGACTAGAACGCACAGCACTCATCGTCAGGATGCTAGGAAAGTATTAGACTGACATTGCAATCTTGAGTGAGAAACGCAGCCTGAAGAAATTGGTGGGATGATGCCCCAAGGACTTTCGGTGTTGGATTTGCTATTCGCGCCAAGCTTGCAAAACAGCTAGACAGCCTACCACGTGGGACCCATGATCGATTAATGACCTTATGTCTCAACCTCACAAAGCACTGCCTTGCTACCATCATAAGTACTTAGGCTCCTACAATAACGAACTCTGACGTTAGGAAGCCTTTTATGAGGATCTCAGCCGTGTCATCCAAGAAGCGAACAGCAAAGGCAAGCTCATCATCCTTGGAGATTTCAATGCACGAGGAGTTGATTACTCCTCCTGGCCAAACATCTTAGGAAACTATGGGACTAGAAAGTGCAACTCCAATGGACTGATGCTACTATCACTCTGTACCCAGCATGAGTTGCCCATCACCAACATGATCTTCCAGCAAGTAGACAAATTCAAAAACATGTGGATGCCTCTTCAGTGAAGGCAGTGGCATATGTTGGACTATGCTATAATGCGCCAAAGAGATTATTGCGTTCACATCATGTGCTGCATGAAAGGAGCATACTGCTGGTCTGACTATCGCCAACTCTGGAGCAAGGCGAATATATAGATAACCTGGAAAAAGAAGACAGCTATGGATAAGCCCATCCGGGAGCTGAACATTGCTCAGCTTCGTAAAGAGGAATCACTGAGATTGGTTTAATGAGAATGAAGACTTTCAGAAGCTCATCGAAAAACTGCTTAAGGTGCACAAAGGCCACCTTAACGACAAGACCACCAGCAAAAAGAAACAGGACTACAAGCAGGCGAGGCAACTTCTCCATCAGAAACTGCAGAAGAAGACTGACTGGTGGGAAAGGAAGGCTGAAGAGCTACAAGCAGCAGTCGACAACCATGACATGAAGACATGTCAAAATGGCCTTCACACTGTTTATGGATCCAAGTTATCTGCTTCAACCCCTGTAAGATTTGACCAATCTACCTTGCTGACAAAAAAAAAACAGGCATCATTGCATGCTGGGAAGACATTTCAGCAGTATCTTGAACAGAGAATCGACCATTTCTGAAAAGGCAAGTGCATCCCTGCCACAACTACCAGTGAAGGAATCGATGGCAGACCCCCCAACTAGTGTCAAAGTTGCTAAAGCTCTGAAGCAGATAACACCTGGAAGGACACCAACAGCAGATGGAATAAATGTAGGCTGCAAGAAACCGGAAGATGCCCCAAGGACTTTCGGTGTTGGATTTGCTATTCGCGCCAAGCTTGCAAAACAGCTAGACAGCCTACCACGTGGGGCCAATGATCGATTAATGACCTTATGTCTCAACCTCACAAAGCACTGCCTTGCTACCATCATAAGTGCTTAGGCTCCTACAATAACGAACTCTGACGTTAGGAAGCCTTTTATGAGGATCTCAGCCGTGTCATCCAGGAAGCGAACAGCAAAGGCAAGCTCATCATCCTTGGAGATTTCAATGCACGAGGAGTTGATTACTCCTCCTGGCCAAACATCTTAGGATACTATGGGACTAGAAAGTGCAACTCCAATGGACTGATGCTACTATCACTTTTTTCCCAGCATGAGTTGCCCATCACCAACATGATCTTCCAGCAAATAGACAAATTCAAAAACATGTGGATGCCTCTTCAGTGAAGTCAGTGGCATATGTTGGACTATGCTATAATGCGCCAAAGAGATTATTGCGTTCACATCATGTGCTGCATGAAAGGAGCATACTGCTGGTCTGACTATCGCCAACTCTGGAGCAAGGCGAATATATAGATAACCTGGAAAAAGAAGACAGCTATGGATAAGCCCATCCGGGAGCTGAACATTGCTCAGCTTCGTAAAGAGGAATCACTGAGATTGGTTTAATGAGAATGAAGACATTCAGAAGCTCATCGAAAAACTGCCTAAGGTGCACAAAGGCCACCTTAACTACAAGACCACCAGCAAAAAGAAACAGGACTACAAGCAGGCGGGGCAACTTCTCCATCAGAAACTGCAGAAGAAGACTGACTGGTGGGAAAGGAAGGCTGAAGAGCTACAAGCAGCAGTCGACAACCATGACATGAAGACATTTCAAAATGGCCTTCACACTGTTTATGGATCCAAGTTATCTGCTTCAAC